AATAATTAATAAAACAAAATATCACATCCAAACTATAATTATTTTATTTTTTCTCTCACAATTATCAAATTAAATAAAAAAAAGTTAAAAATTATCCTAAACATAACCTTTTTTTAGTCAAATTAAAATAGCTAAAAAGTTAAACTTAACTCATCCAAAACGGGAGCTAAAGACTTATACCATCAGCGGCGGAGCCAAAGAGGGTCTAGGGGGGTCACGTGTCCCCTCTGAGTTTTGAATTTTTATTTTATTTTATACAAATATAAAAAAAATATTTTAAATAAAAAAATTTATAAAAATATTATTTTAAATATCAATGACATTTAAAATAATAAGAATGATAAGGTTATTTTGATTGAAAATAAAGTGATTAAGGTATTATTATCTATGAAAATTCTAATATAATGGTGATGTCTATTACTATTGACATGCAAATATAATTAATCTCAATGAAAATATAGGATTTATTAATTGTTAGTTATATTTGACATGTAGCATTCATTCTCCATGTGTTTCTTTACTATTGGTTGGTGATATCACATGTTAATGACGACGTGGTATAACTTTTATATTGAATTTTTACACATACTTTATCATTATATAATTTATTTTAAAATTTTATATCCATGACTTTTTTTTTTTTAATATTGTCCATGATACACTAATTACAAATAATATTTAGCTTATTTGGTTCTAATTTTCAGAAAACAGTTTTCAAAAAATTCTATATTTTTATTTTTTGTATTTTAATGTTTTCAATAATTTTTTTAATAGTTTAAGAATTTTTTTTTTTAATTTTTAGACACACCTAACATAAATATACATAAAAAGTATAATATTTGTGAAAAAAATCTTTAAAAAATACACTAAATACCAAAAAATATAAAAATAATATAAAAATTCAGTACATTTTTTTTGTATTTTTGTGTATTTATTAATTTTTTAAAATATTTTTTCACAAATATTTTACTAGTTGGATACATATCTAAGTAATGTGCATCTAAAAAAGTAAAAAAAATTGTTTAAAATTTAAAAAATATTCACTAAAATAAAAAAAATACGAAAAATAAAAAACTTAATTTTTAAAAAATTGAATTCAAAAAACTAAAACCAAACACACTGATTATTTTTTTATTTATCTTTCTCGAAGTTAATGGTAAAAATTTATGTGAAATATTTTTATAAAAAATTTAAATATTGTAATTAATAAGTACCCCTCTGATTTAATTTCTTGACTCCGCTACTGGATGTGAGTAAAAAGTTGTGGGATGCAAATTTCATTTGCACTCAATATTTGTGTATTTTTTTTTTCTGTGTCTAACTATTAAGTAATTCCTTATTTATAATTATTTGATGACAATACCACCATAAATAATTTAAATAAGTTTGAAAAAAAATTAACTATTGAGAAGTAAAAAAAAAAAAAAAACTTTTTTATTATCATTTTTAAAAATTACACCGAACATGTCCTAAGGGAACTGTAGACTCTTTCAAGAAATCCAAAAATGGAGAAGGCAATGGAGTCTTTGAAGGTAACCGATGAACAATCTGAGATAATCTCCACTTCTTCAAATTTTTTATATTTTTCTACCGATTTGATATTCCCTCAATTCATTGGCAATTTTGTGTCTCTAATCTACATATGCATACAAATTCGTGTTAATTTGTGGGTGTATGATTTGGGGATTTTGTTGATTGAGAGCATAAACCAAAATACATAAATGGCATATATATAACATATAGAAACCTGAACAAGTTATAAATATTTGATGACAATACAACAAGTACAACCACTTTCATGCTTTTCCTAGCTTAAAATTACAGATTCAGAAAAGAAAACTAGGGGGGAGAGGTAAAGTGAGGGAAAGAAAATTTTACAACATCAAAATAACTTGCATATGTGGCTTTATTTAAGAATCATTTCTTCATCTATCCTAATGCCTTTGTCCTCTAACCCCGAGAAATACACCATCAAACATATTGTAGGAAAGATTGAGATATTGAATTAACCAAAACTCCCCGAGAAACCCTGGAATCTGTCCAGACAAGTTGTTCTTAGAAACATCTAGTTGTTGAATACCTTTCAATTGTTCAAAAGATGTCGGAATTGTACCTTCAAAAAGGTTACCTTCCATGTAGATGAATTCTAAAACTTCACAATTGCCGAGAGTGGCGGGAATTTCTCCAAATAGTTTATTATTTGATACATATAGTCTTCCCAGATTTTTCAAGTAACCCACTTCTTGTGGTAGTAGTCCTATTAAGTAATTATGACTTAAGAATAGATTAAAGAGGGAAAGCACACCAAAGATTTGATAAGGTATTGCTCTTGTGAGATGATTGTCATCAAGATAAATTTCTTGTAGATTGGTACAATTGCCTAAAGAAATTGGAATGCTTCCCTCAATCATATTTGTTGATAGGTCAAGTACACCAAGCCTACTCAGGTTTCTAATAGACTATGGAATCTCTCCAGAGAAGTTATTGTTGCCAAGGAAGAGCTGTTCCAACATGGAGAGTTTTCCAATGGAATTTGGAATACTACCTGTAAGCAAGTTCTGATCTAGAAAGAGGTATTGCAAATTTACAAGGTTCCCAATACCAAGAGGTATGTTTCCAGATATATAGTTGTCTTCTAGAGAAAACCCAGTGATCTTGGTGGAGAGATTTGCAATAGAATGGGGCAAAAGACCTTTAAAATGATTACCGCCCAAATTCAGAGTGTGTAGATTGGAACAATTGGATAAAGAAGTGAGGAAGCTCGTCAATTCATTGCCTTGGTCTGTTCCAAGTGAATTGTCTGAAGCAGAAAAAACTTCTAAAGCATCAAGGGTTCCCAGATTCATAGGAATGGGCCCAATAAAAAATTGTCGGTAAAATTCATACGCCCAAGTCTCGTAGCATTGGCTATTGACGATGGAATTTGGCCATAGAATTGATTGTGTGTAACAAAAAATCCTAGTAAATTTGGAAGGGTCAAGCCTAAATCTGGTGGTAGAGTTCCGTGCAATTGGTTGACATTGATAGAGAAGAAATACATTGATGAGATGTTGTAAAGCGAAGTAGGAACCATACCGGACAAATTGCTTGCCATCAGCTGAAGAAACCCCAACTTGGAAAGCTGCCCAAGTTGGGTGGGAATGCTTCCCTCTAGATTGTTGTACGCTAGACAAAGCACACGTAGATTGGAAAGGTTCCCAATTGAAAGTGGGATAGTTCCAGTGAGATGATTGACTGCAAGATTCAATAAGGAGAGATTGGACAAAGAACCCAGCTTCGTAGGAATTTTACCTCTTAGCTTGTTAAAATGCACACGGATAACTCTCAAGTGTGAACAATGAGTCAAATTGGTGGGAAATTCACCTTGGAAAGAGTTATTCAAAAGCAGAAGGTACTGCAGACGAAACAACTTGCCAAGTTCTTGTGGGATTTCACCATGAAAGCTGTTGTTACCTAGATCAATCGTCCTAAGGAAGGTGAGGTTCCCAATTTGAGGAGATACAGAGCCCACCAATGAGAGAGATGACAGGTTTAGGACCGTGACACGTTGATGTCGAGGACCGCATGAGACTCCTTGCCAATTGCAAAAGTGAATTGAATGATTCCATGAGCTTAAGGCACCCAGAGGATCTCCTGTTATCAAATCCTTGATTGCAAGCAGTGCTTGATGGTCTGTCTCGTTGGTGAGAACTAAACTGGGATTGCCCTTGGCAGTGGTAATCAGTTCAAGAGAGTTCATGAAAAAGAAAATGAAACAAAGTAAAGATGTACTAAGTAGACAATTGAGAAAAGTTGAATTTGTTTGCTCCATTTGGTGTTTTAATAGAATATTATTATGATGAGAAATGGAGCTGATCAACTTGTATACACCAATGGAGAGCCAAATATTATATATATGTATTTATAGAGCCAAAGGCTTGAGACTTTTTTTTATTTTTGGGTCTGTGGCAAATTACCGTAATTCTTATTTCTTTGCTAATTGTATCATTTTGATCTCTATAACTTCAATTGACTCGATTTTAATTCGAAATTTATGATTTTATCTCAATTTAATGTAATTAATTTCAATTTTTAGTATTTTTTTTATTTATGAAAAATGCGCACATAAGTATATGTGTCATGCTTTTATAGAAAAATTATAAATTGTTTGACTTAGTGAGTTAACCTGAACAAATTTAGTGACCGTTTTCTTTCAAAATCCCTAATTGATATTATCAATTACACCAAATGAATACAAAATTTAAGATTAATGATCAAAGTTGAATTAATTAAAATGACAATGACCAAAATAATAGAAAGGTTAAAATGGGCTATCAATGTAATTTATTCTTTTCTTCCCCCCCCCCCGGGGCCGGTAGCTTATTGTGTTATTAACGGGTCGTCGCCAATCTTCTTCATTTTTTATCACTTCACCAAGTCTTATTTTAGCTCACATTTATGCTCAAACATTCCAAGAAACTCTTTGTAATGCCTCATTTTCCTGGGTGCTGCAATGCTGTCATTATATTGCTGTAGCTTTTCTGAATCAATTTCCTCAAGAGAGGTTTCAATCAGCTTCATGCATACTTTCAGCATAGGGGAACCACTTTCATCTTGTTGCCTTGCCATTAATCTCTTATTATTATTTTTTATTTTTTAATTTTTAAATTTTTAAAAAATTTGAATCGCCATATATATTTAAATCATAACAAATTATTTGGCCAATAATTTAAAAAATAACAAAATATTTTTTTCAAAAATAAGAAGAAAAAACCATTTTCTAGAAAAAATATTTTTTCAAAAAAATAAAAAATAAAAAAAATTTAAAGAACAAAATAAAAAATATTTTTTTTGAAATTTTTTTATTTTAAAAATAGGATTTTGAGTTTTGAAAAAAGTTTTGAATTGAATGTTTAGTTATGAGTTTTGAAATTATTTAATTGAAATTATGATTACAAAATTAAACCAAACAATATCTAAATTTTTTTTAATTTTTTTTTTAACAATCACTTAAAAAGGTAAACTCCAAAAACCCATATCCTCTCACGATGAAAATGATTCAATATCTTCTATATACTGGGATCTAGATAATTCATAATTTTGGTTGGTGAGACGTTTCTATTGAAAATGAAAATGCATGCATGCATATAAGCATTGTTATTTGAGAGACTTATGTACCGATGCTACTAATCAAACTTATTTATTTGTAAGTTCTATTTCTTTTTTCACCTAATAATATCTCCAAAAATTTTGAAGCAAAATAAGCATTTTAAGACTTATTGGAACTAACACTACAAGAAAAGAGCCCAAATAACACGGAACTTTTTGCGACGGTATAGGTACCGTCGCAAAAAATGGTCTTTTGCGACGGCATTTTCAGGCCGTCTCAAAAAATAGTTTTTTGCGACGGCATTTTCAAACCGTCTCAAAAAATGGTTTTTTGCGACGGTGGTGACCCCGTCGCTAATGAAAATTTTTCTATCCCGCTCATTTTAGCCTATTCGCGGTCATCTGTTTCCCCAAAATCCACAAACCTTTTTGAACCAACCCAAAATCCCTAAAAACTTTAAAACCAAAATCCCCAAAACCATTTGGAACAAAATCCCCAAAGCCCTTGAGCCAAAATTCAACGACGGTGACGGACGACGGTGATCGACGACGGCTAGCAGCGAGGGAGCAGCGAGTGGCGACGGCGAGTGACGACTGTATGCCCCCCCTCTCTCTCTCTCTAATTACATCCAAAGCCCTCTCATTTTTTTGAATATATTTTTTTCTCCATTGTTGTTTGGGGGTGTCATTGGTTTGAAACTATGCCTAGAGGTGACCAGGTCTTCTTTCTTTTCCTCTCTTGATTTTCTGTTTCCATTCCCGTTACAGGTCTTCTTTCTTTTCCTCTCTTGATTTTCTGTTTCCGTCTCTGTTTTCTGATGTTGATTGCAATGCATGTGTTCTGTGTCTGAATGTCACTCAAATGCTTTATTAATTTCCATGATTTTCTTCACATTTTGGTTTCCTTTTTTCACCTTCCAGATGTTGATGTTATTGTCGTTTGCTTATTTTTTTATTTATGGATCTTGTGATGCATTCAATTATTTTTTTTAAAATTTTTTATTTCTTTTTTGTGTTGTTTGATTTTTGACATCTACACTAAGTATGGCATTGGGTTTATATAATAGTTAGATAGTTAGATAGATAGTTAGATATAATCAAATAATCAATGCAATTAAGAGGAAGTAGTAGAGAACATAATGCTTCAACTGTTTTTTGTGGTGATTGGTAGCAAGAGAGTGAAATTTATTCGAATTTTAATATTGAAAAACCTTCAATGACAATACCTGAATAAATCACGACTGATTCTTGGTTGGAATGCTAGAATTTCGCTATTCCAAGAAAGTATTTTTTGTGAAATAGGATTCTGTCAATACTACTGATTTTTTTTCTGGTGGTTTTGTATAGTTGGGTCTTAGGAAGTGTGGTTCTGGACTTATTTTCTTTTGTGGATTTTATTGATTCTTTACATGTCTAAATGTAGGTTGGAGTGGGGCTGGTTGTGGCTGTGTTTGTAGCATCATCTTGATGCTCTTTTTCTAATAAAATGGTTACTCTTTAATTATCAAAAAAAAAAAAAAGAAAGAAAGAACTGAAGCATAAAGTTCCATTTCTGATCAATGTGTCAGATTGACAGAATAATCTACGTTTATGTTGCTGGTGGTCTTGGTACAATAATTCTTTGCACTAATTAAAATTGAATCATCACTAGAGCATATGGCTAAAGTGATTTGTCGAATGATACTAATATTGGCTGTGTGTAAATGCCATTGACAGTGCTGAATAGCACCTAGAAAGGAGTCAACTTGCCACTTTTGACTCGAGTTTTTTTTTGTTTTGTTTTGTTTTGTGTGTTTAATTCTTGTCCTTGAGAACAAGTAATGGAACGATAGAGAACAAAAATTGTTACAATGCAAGAGATGAGGACTTAGACTTTATTCTATGTTCCCCTTTCTCTCTCTCTACATATATATATATATGGCTATGTTGTTGACTAGTTTTTTTTATAATACTGCTTAAGTACCCCAGTAATAAAATAAAGTCAGTAGTATTGACATTCTTTTCTTCAAATCGCAATTGACACAGTTCAATTTTTATTTAATTAGTGATGAAAATTTCATAGTTAAAGCAATTTTTGGGTCACATGGATTTCGATACCTGTGAAGCTAGTTGTGTCTTCCTTTTCAATTTTTGCACTTTCTACTGTAGTCAATTTGTGTAAGAAACTTCCTTCTGAATGTCCTGCACCTTTAATGGAGGCAGTTCCAATATTGTGTAAACTGCTTCAGTATGAGGATCGGTAGGTTTGTATCATGTTTTTGTGTGTACGGGTTATCTTGTCATTGGAATATTTGATCTTATGATTTTTTTAACATTTTCTTGTTTTTCCATGTCATTCTCAGCTTGTTGAAAATGTAGCCACTTGCTTGATAAAGATAGCAGAAGGAGCACGCCACACGTCTAATATGTTGGACGAACTTTGTAAACATGGACTGATTCATCAAGCTACACATCTGATAGACTTGAATTGTCGAACCATCTTGTGCCAACCAGTTTACACCGTATGCAGTCTCTTTATTTATGTTTTGTGTGATGGTTGTCCTCAATATCCTACCATGTCTATTTATTCAAACTTTTTCCATATTGGTTTACAGGATTTGATTGGGCTACTTGTCACACTTGCTTCTGGTTCAATTGTAGCTGTCAGGACTCTTTTTGAGCTTAATATAAGCAGCATATTGAAGGATATCTTGTCTATTTATGATCTTTCTCATAAAATGCCTTCTCCTAATCTGGTTGATGGACATTGCAATCAGGTACTCTTCTTGCTCCTATAGCAACACAATTTCATTAATCTGCAGCTATTTCTTTTCTCATATTGATAAATATCACTATTGGAAGGAAATAGATATAAACTATTATTTCTTTGAATCCTCAACATTCTACTTGAACATGTGAAACATACGATATTATTAAGTATCACAATAGTGCTTATGGACGTAAGGTGTAAATGGAACAATTGTTTCTATAATGGGATCAAACAAGTGTAATCATAGTTGGTTTAGTTTGTTGGCTTGAAGTAGGCAGGTTTGACAATGGCAAATACTTGTGGAGGCATTATGCATTCTGTTTAAACTCTAACTAAACTCTACCTCTTTCTGAAAATATAACTTGGACCAGCAAATCCATTTTGACTTGCTATGAGTCCTGTTTACTCCAATTGAAGTCTTATGCATTCTGTTTAAACTCTGATTGAACTGTACCCGTGTCTGAAAATATAACTTGGACCAGCATTTTCATTTTGACTTGCTATGCGTCCTGTTCGACTCCAATTGAAATTTCTCTTTCTGAAATTGCACTAGTCTACCACCATAGTTGAACCACAAATCCTACATTAGAGATTAGAATTTGGACAATATGACTTGTGTATGATACGAATACGAGTATGATGATACGACAAAACCTAAAAAATAAGATTTGTGCTTGTAAAAACTATATATATTTTTTTATATATATAAATTTTAGTATCGTATTATATATAAACAATTTGTGCTATATTAGCTTAACACTGATGTAAAATAGAAACAATTCTTAGAGAAATTGACTCAATTCACAACAACAATCTTGAATGAATCATGCTATCAAAAAAGTTTAAAATACAAACACAAACATCATTATTAGACAAACAATAATAGCTCCCACAACAAACACACCAATGATTCTTTACGAAAATTTCTAAATGTTTTTGTATCGCTCTACACACAATGTAGTGTTGCTATACCATTGCACACACTGTTTTTTGTCCCACAAAAGCACACAC